GATTGTCAATTCGTCAGAATACGGATTCAATTTTGTGTAATCTATATCATACGGATTTGAGCAATTCGCATCACTAGTCTCATGTTTATCCCTTTCAACTCCAATTCCTTCTTCATAACAACATCCAACAGTATTTATTCCAATAGCATCACCCATCTCTGCGGATTTTTTGCAATAAATGAATGCCTTATGTTCATCCCTTTCAACTCCAATTCCTTCATAATAATACCCCACAATATTTTGTTCCCCTAGTATCGTCCATTTTTGTAGATTTTTGAAAATAAACAAAAGCCTTATGTTTGCATGTCTGGCACCATATTATCGGCTTCAATTTGCATATTTCCCATACTTGCTTGTTCTTTCAGATCTAAATTCTTCAAATACCAACATATATTTATTGGCTTCAGTGCTTTTTGTCAGGCCATATACTTATCATTATTTTTTAATTGTTTTATAATCTGTAAACTTATTAAAACGTAAACATAAATTAAAATACAGTAAAATAGTCAATTGATTTTTTATGTATAAAATAATGTATCTAACCGATCAAATTTATCTGAAATTTTAAGCAAAATTATCTCGACAATCACCTGACAAAATTTGCAAATTTGATCAGGCGAAGTTTAAAAACAAAACATAGATCAAAATAGTAGCTACGTCAAATTTTTTCTAAATATTGACAAATTTTTTTTATTAAATTCTATAAATCTATGGAACCCAAATAAAAAATTTCATTATTTAATCAGGTGGTAACTTTTCAAATAAGATTTGACGGTTTATTTCTATTTATATAGACATTTTTGTAATTTCGAAAACTTTGAAGATATCTCGACAGGTCCTAATCAAGTTCAATGAAATTTTTAGTTGAATTTTATATATTCGTAAAGTTCAAATAAATTTTTTTTTAATCGAGTTTGGTTAGTGTTAATCGAGATACCTTTGCTCGAGAACGATTGATGAGACTTAGAAAAAATTCTTTCTAATAGCGACAAATTGATTAGTTAAGATATTTTGTGTTTACATATATTTTACGTTTACACATAAAAATTCAACAAACCAGGCATATATTCTCCTATTGTTCACTTAAAAAGTATTTTAACCTACCTCTTTTAATATATCTAATAAATCTTAATTTCACTTACATGTTGGTATACATAACTGTGTATATTTATATTCATTATTATAATTTATATATCGCATTCCATCTAACCATGTTGCTAAAAATCTATTGCCGATCCTTTGAATATTAACTAATCTATCAAAAGGATCACATTTTCATATTTTGTAGCTTTATGTTGAAACACTTTGATAAACTTATCACATCCTTATTTCCACTTGTCCACCTTGTGTTGTTTTCTGTGGGTCACATGTTTAACATCAAGTTGGCAATGTGTTATAACGTTTGCAATCTGCACATACACCATTTTGACTATTCCTTTTAGAACTAAAGACATCAAACACGACTATTTATTCACTATATTCACGATCATATTCACTTTAATTTAATAAATAAGTATTAATCAGTAAATTTTATTCAATACTATAAATACTTACTTTACATATTTTATTGATTCAATTAACAAATATGAAGATTATTTAAGTGCAATGACAATAAATATCATAAATTCGAATCTCAATTTCATACAGCAGACTTGAATTAGTATTTGACTACATTATATTGAAAACTAGTTTGCAGTTTTTCTTTTGGAATAATTATTTATTGATTTTGAATTTACAAGAAGTTCTTCAAGATTGAAATTTTTATTATCATACTAGTTTACATATTTATTTGTTGTAAATTCATGCAGTAATAGTCGCAATTATTATTATTACACTATCTTGCATAAATTGTTAGAATAAAAAAAATTTTTAACTATCAGTCAATTACTATTTTTAATAGCTGGCCCAGCTGCATAACCAATATCATTAACCAGTTTTACTAGTACGTGTCACCAATACTAACTGGCGATTGTTACACATAACCATTCTTTAAAAAAACATAAATTAACAATTTAATATCGATGTGAAACAACTGACTAATTAAAATTTAATTTTATTAATAAATTTCTTAGAACAAGTAAATAATGAGATTTGAATGAAGGTCGATCGGAAGATTATGGAATATGTTTAAATTGCAAACGACCCAACTCTTATTACGCTTGGTGTATGTCCTGTGATCCAAAAATATTAATTAACACTTTTAAAGGTTCCGGAAACACAGCAATTGATGAATTTTTAAAAGAATCATGGTTATCAATTGAAGGAAATGGAAGTGTTATTGAATTTATTCAGTACAACAGATTTGAAATTTTAAAATTTATTGGCGAAGGTGGTTTTAGTAAAGTGTTTTCTGCAATTTGGTTAGATGGAGCAAGAACAGTAAAAGCAGATTCCAATGAAAAATATATAAAATCACGATCTCAACCAATCACAGTTGCACTTAAATTCTTAACAAATTCTCAAAATATATCAATTGATTTTGTAAATGAGGTATGTAGTGTTATTTAACTATTTATTCTCACATCTTTCTAAAGCTTTGTATTTTAATCTAGGTTAAATATCATTATAAATGCTTTGTAAAACATATTTCAAGTTTTAGATTGTATGGTATTAGCTAAGATCCAACAACCAAAGAATATATAATGGTTACGGAATTTGCTGAATTGGGAAATTTTAGAAATTATTTAACATCAAATTTTAATCAACTTAAATGGGATAAAAAGCTGGACTTTTTAATTACCATTATTTCAAATTTAGTAGCCATGCATAGCATTGGATTTGTACATAAGGATTTACATACCGGTAATATTTTGGTGTTTAGAAGATATAACTATAAAAATATTTGTACAAGCATATCAGATTTAGGATTAACACAACAGCTGATAAATCAGCTAATAATAAAGAAATTTATGGAATATTACCCTATGTTGCTCCTGAAGTTTTATGTAAGCGGCAATATACAACAGCATCAGATATTTATAGCTTTGGAGTAATTATGGCTGAAACATCAACTAGTATTGGTAATCAATCTTTTTTTAATATTCCTCATGACGCAAATCTGGCTATTAGAATGTGCAAGTGCCCATGACCAGGATTTGCTAAAGGAATGCCTGAATGTTATTCAATTAGCAAACAAATGCATGGACGCTAATCCTTCTAATCAGCCAAGTGCAGAGGATGTTTATGATTAAATACGTGAGATAAAGCATAATAATGAGTTAAAAAACAAATTTGAAGCGGCAAATGCAATGATTCCTAAATTATCCACTTCAAGAAAGCGTTCAGAAACTTTATTTTCTAGTCGTTCTCTGTGCTTCCAGAAACTTCCTAAACCTGTAAATTCAGCATCTTCAAACATCAAACTAATTACAGGTATTAAATTTATTTGCATTCAATAAAATTATTTGCCATAATATTTACAATTTACATTTTTTTAATAGATTTGGAAGAATTTGAAATTTCATACGGTAAGATGCAATACATTTCTTATGTTTAATATCTAATATTTTTAAAAAATGCCTAATATTACCTTTATTAAAGATGATTTTATGAAATAAAATTTTCACAAAAACAATGGATTGCTGACATTTAACAGAAGAATAAAATTTGGGTACTATTTTTGTGCAGAAAGCACAGTGCGCTGGGTAATCTTTCTAGGATTATCATCAAAATTTCACTTCTGATTTAAAGTTCATTTATGTTAATGCTTATATTATGGCGAGATTTTAGCAATTTATATTATAAAACTAGTTATAAACCCATTGCATTTGAATGAATATATAGTTAGTTCATTAAAAATAAGAAAAGACTATTTATATCTTGTTTTAGAATGCTAATAAATAATTTTGATTAAAACAGTTGTTCATTTTCCATAATACCATTAATTTTGTTTTCTGCCATGATATAGTCAAACTTTAATTATATCACTCTTTTGCCCAAAGAGTTTTTAGATATAACTTTGATAGAGATATAACCAAGGTAAATATAGGACAATTAGTCTGCCAAATAGTGAGGATATGACTTAAGTAGATACAGTCGATCCTCTCAAAACTGATCCTGTCAAAACCGATAACCTGTCAAATCCGATACACAATTACCATTCCAGTTATATAAATCTGTTTTCAAATCCGATAACCTCTCAAATCTGATACAAAACCTGTCCACTGTATCTAATCCAGAGTTTTTCCAGTTAAATGTCCTATGAATTTTTACAGATATTATTTATATAAATATGTAATGTATACCAGATATAGTAAAATTTGATTATTTTACATGATTAATGCCTTCATTTATTAATAATTGATCTATAAATTAATAAACAATGTATATGAAAATCAACTTTATGCTGTGTATTGACAGAATAGTAAGATTTGTAAAGAATTTTTTACCACAACTCACAATATAAATTATAATAATACTGATGTAGCCTCAACCACATACTGTAGTTATACGAATAACAAGCCAGTTCTGTAGACAAATTTTTTTACAGATAAAATCATTATAATTTTGCTGCAAATGAACTCAATCATAACCACATATTATGGGTTGGGTAATGTGTAATAGAATGTTTCATTATAACTTCAATAAATATCTTGGTAATTCTAATACAAACTAATTTACTTTTGTTATTACTAGAATAGTAAGTAAGTTTTGTGATAAAATTTTTTACAGTACTACATAATAGAAATCACATAATTATTCAAATGCTATCTCTATACTGATATATTACTAGAATGAGAAGTAGACTTTGTAACAAATTAACAGCAGTCAACAAAATTTTATATATGCCAGTTACTAAATAGTAAGCTTTATAACAGAATTTTTATAATAATTCATAATAGAAATTATGCAAAGTAACTTACCCATGTACTATAATTACACAAAATAGTAAGTTTTGTACAGAGATTTTTATAGTAATTTATAATAAAATTATAGTAATACAAATTGAAAAAATTTTACAATTGATTAGTTGTCAATTTTTTTGATTAATCAATTTTTTTTTTTAATTTTTATTTGATTTTAATATAAGTTGTCAAAAATTTTTCAATTGATTAGTTGTCAACTTTTTGATTATTTGTAAGTTTTGATTTAATAATTAATTATTAGAATAGCAGTTTTAATTTTCTATAACTTATAATAAGATTGTAAAATTTTAATACAAGCCAACTTTTATAATATGTCACCAAAATCAACTCTTTCCGACGATCATTTGTCCCAAATTTTCCACCCAAAGAAAAATAAATATTTTGTTGGAGATAACGTCATTTCGTACTTTGATGAGGTGGTTTTTGTAGAGGTTGGACT